ACGTTCAGCACTAATTCAGAGAGCCTTTTCTGCTCTTTAAATGAGGGAAATGTGTATTTAGGGACTTCCTTTAGGGGCGTGGGGCTATTTGGACTTTCAAGATAAGTCTCATGTTGGCTGGTTACAAGTTCTGAACACTTTAAAGAACAATTTAATAGAAAAATGTCATTAAATGGACGAACCAAAGGCACATGCTGGGTACATTCTTGGTTAAAACCTCTTTTTTTTTTAAAGGTGTGATATCTCTCCTTTAGTACAGATATGATCAGTTCTGTCATCTTTTATAGATCACGGAGGGTATTAAATCTGGAATTATCAAAGTATTTCTGATTAAATGGGTCTGGTGCCTTTTTAATTTGAATTGGAAATCTTTTAAATAGGTTTTTAAAAAGAATCCCAAGTTAATTTTCCGTCTGCTTCTCCCTCCCAGGTTATTTTAGGTTTAACTTAATGGGTCCCATCATGCTGTTGGGGGAATTAACCGGGTTAAAATGTGAGGAATTTCTTCATTGCAGACATTAAAATGTGTCACAGGGAGCTTTGTCTTCCTTTTTTTTCTTTTTTCTTTTTTTTTTACCCTTAACCAGAATCAGTCTGTGAAAGTCTCATCTGCAGGGTGGAAGTCCTCTTCTTTACTTTTCTTTTTTTTTTTTACTTTTCTACTTTTCTTTCTCTTTCTTTTGAACAGACGAGCTGAAAAGTGAGTGTAAAAGGAAACAGATTTTTTTTTATTTTACCCTTAACCAGAAAGTCTCCTCTCCAGGCTGAAAGTCCTCTTCTCACGTACTCTTTTTTTACTTTTCTATTTTTCTTTCTCTTTCTTTTGAACAGACGAGCTGAAAAGTGAGTGTAAAAGGAAACAGATTTTTTTATTTTACCCTTAACCAGAAAGTCTCCTCTCCAGGGTGGAAGTCTGCTTTTCAAGTCCTCTCTTTTAACTTTTCTACTTTTCTTTCTTTCTTTCTCTTTCTTTTGAACAGATGTGCTGAAAAGTGAGGATAAAAAAAAATAGAAAAGTCGGCTTCTCACGTCCTCACTTTTTTTAACTTTTCTACTTTTCTTTCTTTTTCTTTTGCACAGACGAGCTGAGAAGTGAGTGAGCTTTAAAAAAACAAAAAAAAAAAAGGAAACCCTCCTCCAGACTCCACCCAGACCGGCCTTAGGCAGCGAACGGGGCCCCGGCAGAGGCCATAAAAATGAGCGGCCCCCACCCCCGGCTCCACCAGAGCTCCGCGCCCGCTGCCCCTGCTCTCTCCCCGGACAAGGACGGCCCCGAGATGCCCGCCACGGAGAAGGACCTGGCCGAGGACGCGCCCTGGAAGAAGATCCAGCAGAACACGTTCACGCGCTGGTGCAACGAGCACCTCAAGTGCGTGAACAAGCGCATCGGGAACCTGCAGACGGACCTGGGGGACGGCCTGCGGCTCATCGGGCTCCTGGAGGTCCTGAGCCAGAAGAAGATGTTCCGCAAGTACAACCAGAGGCCCACCTTCCGCCAGATGCAGCTGGAGAACGTGTCCGTGGCCCTGGAGTTCCTGGACAAGGAGAACATCAAGCTGGTGTCCATAGGTGGGTGGCGAAAAGCGCGAGAAAGAGAGAAAAGCGCGTGCGCAAGAGTTTGTGAAAGTGTGCGTGGCGTCTTTGTGCGTGGAGCAGATGTGTTTTGGATTTTGGAGTTGCTTTTTCTGTTTTCTGGATCGAGCTGGGATCCATAGGTGGGTGGGTGGGTGGGTGGGAAGCGCGTGCGTGAGCGCGTGAGCCTGCATGAATGAGTGCCAAGCTGTAGCTGTGCGCGTGCGCGAGAGAGTGCGTGAGAGTTTGTGAGTGTGCGTGGCCTCTTTGTGCCAGAAGAGAAGTGTTTTGGATTTTGGATTTGTGCTTTTTTTCTGGATTAAGATGGAGTCCATAGTTGGGTGGGAAGCGCGTGCGTGAGCGCGCGTGCGTGAGCTCGCGTGAGCGTATGTCAGCTGAATGAATGAGTGCCAAGCTGTAGCGCGTGCGTGAGAGTGCGTGTGCGTGGCCCTCTTTGTGCCAGAGGAGATTTGTTTTTGGAGATGTGCTTTTTCTGGATTAAGCTAGAGTCCATAGGCGGGTGGGTGGAAAGCGCGTGCGTGAGTTGAATGAGTGACTGAACGTGTCCGTGGCGCTGGAGTTCCTGGACAAGGAGAACATCAAGCTGGTGTCCATAGGTGGGTGCGTGCGCGAGAGAGAGAAAAGCGAAAAGCGCGTGAGTGCGTAAAAGCGAGCAGAAGTGTTTTTGGAGATATGCTTTTTCTGGATCGAGCTGGGGTCCATAGGTGGCTAGGCTAGAGTCCATAGGTGGGTGGGAAGCGCGTGCGTGAGTGAGTGCCAGACTGTAGCTGTGCGCGCGTGCACGAGAGTGCGTGTGCGTGGCGTCTTTGTGCCAAAACAGAAGTTTTGGAGATGTGCTTTTTCTGTTTTCTGGATCGAGCTGGGGTCCATTGGTGGGTGGTTGGGTGGGAAGCGCGTGCGTGAGCGTACGCGCGTGCGTGAGTGGAATGAATGAGTGGCAGGCTGTAGCTGTACGCGCGTGCGTGAGAGTGCGCGGACTCTACCCGTCTTTGTGCTAGAGAAGTGTTTTGGAGATGTACTTTTTCTGTTTTCTGGATCGAGCTAGAGTCCATAGGTGGGTGGCGCAAAGCGCGTGCGCGAGAGAGCGCGTGAGTTTGTGAGTGTGCGTGGCGTCTTTGTGCCAGAGCAGAAGTGTTTTGGAGATGTGCTTTTTCTGGATTAAGCTAGAGTCCATAGGCGGGTGGGTGGGTGGGAAGCACGTGCGTGAGCGCGTGAGCCTAAAGAATTAGTGCCAGGCTGTAGCTGTGCGCGTGCGCGAGAGAGTGCGTGAGAGTTTGTGAGTGTGCAGAGTGCGTCTTTGTGCCAGAGGAGATTTGTTTTGGAGATGTGCTTTTTCTGGATTAAGCTAGAGTCCATAGGTGGGTGGGCAGCGCGCGTGCGTGTGCGCGCGTGCGTGAAGGAATGAGTGTGTGCCAGGCTGGGTATGTGCGCGTGTGCGTGATCTCTGCCCTATTTGTGCCAGAGCAGATGTGTTTTGGAGGCTTTTTTTAATGCCGGTTTTAGGGGAGTTAGTTCAAGGTTGTGTGCATTTGTAATAAAAAAATATTTTTATTCATGTTTTTATTCAAGTACAAACAATGAAAAGTAAATATTTTTTTAAATTTCTTTTACAAAAACAACACACAAACACTCATTCCCTCCCCAATCCTACAAGAAATATGTTCCAGATCAGTAATAACCCACATCCTTCCTTCTTACCGTACACAAACATTTTAATAAAGTATATACAGTGGGGGAAATAAGTATTTGAGCCCTTGCTGATTTTGCAGGTTTGCCCACTTGCAAAGAATGCAACGATCTATAACTTTAATCATATGTACATTCTAACAGTGAAAGACAGAATCCCAAAGAAAATTCCAGAAAATCACATCATATGAATTTATAAAAATTGATAACCATCTGATGAG